ATTGTTTCTTTCTATTTTCTAATGCTTTTTTCTGAACTATTTCCTTATTTTTACTTTCTTTAGGTTTTTGGTTTTGGGTGGTTGTTAACATCTGTTCTAATTTACCGAGCTGAATACAGGGTTAACTTGTTTTCATTCGCTCTGTGTGATCTTGGGAAGCACCTGCCTATGAATACAGCTTTGGCCACACCCCACAGGTTTTGATCTGCAGTACTCCTGTTTTCATTAGTTTTCCCAATAGTCTGCAACTGAAGGTCTAATATTATTCTTCCTAGGAGATTTTTTTTTTCAAAGAGACTGGATTTATTCTTTTTATATATCCCTTCCCTCCACCTAGTTTTAGAGCACCGAGTCAGAGAATAGCCCAAACTATTTTTGCTGTATAAAATTCACTAAGGGCTTCCCTGGTGGCACAGTGGTTGAGAGTCCACCTGCTGATGCAGGGGACACGGGTTCGTGCCCCGGTCCGGGAAGATCCCACATGCCGCAGAGCAGCTAGGCCTGTGAGCCATGGCCGCTGAGCCTGTGCGTCCAGAGCCTGTGCTCCGCAACGGGAGAGGCCACAACAGTGAGAGGCCCGTGTACCGCAAGAAAAAATTAATTAATTAAAAAATAAAATAAAATAAAACTCACTAAAATTTTCTTTATGACCTAAAGTACTTCTGTAATTTTTAAGTGTTCTATGATTCCTCAAAAAGAAGGCACATTTTTCCATAGGGCAAGGGGAAAAAATGATATAACTACTAATTTAACTTTATCCACTATATTACTTGAAACTCCTATGCCTTTTTTAAATTTAATAAAATATTTTATTTACTCCAATATATCCAAAACATTATTTCATTAATATCAAATTATTAAGAAAGTATCTTACATCTCTCCTTTTTTTTTTTTCTGTACTAAGTCTTTGAAACCGGGCATATGTTTTATACTTACAGAACATCTCAGTTTGGACTAAATACATTTCAAGAGCTCAGTAGCCACATGTGTCTAGTGCCTGCTGGACTGGACAGTGCAGCTCTAGACAGAAGATATCAATGCAGGAATACTGTCTCTTAAAAATCATGAAAATTTGTTATTGGCTATAAATGACTGAATAACTTATTAAAGAAGGCTTGAACTGAGAAGACTTTTTTTTTTTTTTTTTAAGCAACAAGGATACTGGAGGTAGGGGAAACTCCTATGCCTTTTAAAATGTGATCTGTTAAAGGTCTTGAAAAGGGTATGAAAGACTCCTGCAGTAAGGTTTTTGCAAATTTCTCCCTTGATCTGACAGTCCACTTTGGTATACTTTATGTTCTCCATGGGGCATGAAGGACCATGACTGCTATCCTCACTGTGGTCGCTTCCATCACTTTAGAGTGACACACTTCCCAGGGTAGGAAGAGTGGGCTCAAGGTCCACTGTTCCTGGAATTTGACCAGCCATAAAGTCCTTCATTGTCATTTCTGTACTGCAGGCCTTGTACATTGTGTGCAGTTCGATTTTATTTTGTGAGACTGAGATTCTCTCTCTTTGAGTAGAGGAGTTAACCCTTTGCATAATTCACAACTTTCTTTTTTTTTTTGCAGTACGCGCGCCTCTCACTGTTGCGGCCTCTCCCATTGCAGAGCACAGGCTCCAGACGCACAGGCTCAGCGGCCATGGCTCACGGGCCCAGCCGCTCCGCGGCATGTGGGATCTTCCTGGACCGGGGCACGAACCCGTGTCCCCTGCATCGGCAGGCAGAACCCTTTGCATAATTTACTATGCCTTATGTGCCTCATCTTATTATGACTTGACTTTCTTCATACTGCGTGGGGTCAGACCACGGACTCCAGAATTTGGCTTCCAGGGTGAGAAGCTGGACTCCTGAGGAGCCAAATACCACTGGCTACTCATGCCACTGAACTGCCTTAAACCTCAGTGTCCTTATCTGTGAAGTGGGATCCTCATAGCCCCACTTCCCCATCTGTCCTTGGACGAAGTGAGATAATTTCATGTAAAGTGTTCCCGAGCTGCCTGGCATAGGCACTTGCTCAGTCCACACTGGCCATTACCATGGGGCTCCTTCCTTCCTCACCAGCTCTCCCTTCAGGCACCCCCTTATTTTTCCATCTCAGGTCTTTGTGCCTGGGGGCTTTCTAATCCTGGTGCACAGACCCGTGCATGCTGCTAGGAAAGACGGTTCCAAGTTTCACAACAAAGGGAAGCAAGAAGGGCAAGACTGCTCAGTTAGAACAGCAGCTACGTGGCATGAGAAGAGGAGGACACAGGTTGTTTCTGATGCTTTGACATCCAGGGCCTTGCTGACCTGGGAGGAACTGCTCCTCCCAGGGTCAGCCAATTCCTAGAGACAGTACACAACTCATTCTGGATCATATGCTCTTCAAATGCAAACCAACCAATTCAGAGTCCACACCCCCAGCCCCCTCCTTCATTGGGCTCTCACACTCCAGCCGACTATCCCCTGTGCAAATCACTAGGGCCAGGTACCAAACAACTAGGGCAGCCCCAATGCTCCTGAGCCTGCTGAAAATTATTCACACCGGCCAATCCTAAGCCTGCTTACCCCACCTTACCTTGTCCTTCCTGAGGAAACCACAATAAAGGTGCTCGCCCACAGTTTCCTTCTCCTTCCTTAGGCCTCCTGACCAACCATGGTGTTTCCAGTGCGGCCCTGCATGGCCAGAAACTGTGGGTAAAAAAACCATGGCAGGCAGGCTTCCCTGGTGGCACAGTGGTTGAGAGTCCGCCTGCCGATGCAGGGGACACGGGTTCGTGCCCTGGTCCGGGAAGATCCCACATGCCGCGGAGCGGCTGGGCCCGTGAGCCATGGCTGCTGAGCCTGCGCGTCTGGAGCCTGTGCTCCGCAACTGGAGAGGCCACAACAGTGAGAGGCCCGCGTACCGCAAAAAAAAACAAACAAAAAAACACATGGCAGTCACCTCCTGATCTGTTGGTCTCACCAAACTTGAATAATAACAAAACCTAAATTTTAGCCTCCAGGCAAGATAGCAGGGCGGGGTGGGGGGTGGGGGGTGTGAGGCTGGTGTGACTTTAGGGCAGCCGCACCTTTTTCAGCAAGATCTCAACACTTTGGATGTTACCAAGTTGATGCCACTTTCACATGAAGTTATCAGCAGACAGTGCACAATTAATATAGGTACAATTGGTCATGTAGCTCATGGGAAATCTGGGGTTGTAAGAGCTATTTCTGGAGTTCACATTGTCAGGTTCAAAGATGAACTAGAAAGAAATATTACAGTCAAACTTGGCTATGCTAATGCTAAGATATATAAACTTGACGACCCAAGTTGTCCTTGGCCAGAATGTTATAGATCCTGTGGAAGTAGTACACCTGATGAGTTTCCTACAGACATTCCAGGGACCAAAGGGAACTTCAAATCAGTCAGACGTGTTTCCTTTGTTGACTGTCCTGGTCACGATATTTTGATGGCTACTAGGGTGAACGGTGCCGCAGTGATGGATGCAGCTCTTCTGCTGATAGCTGGGAACGAGTCTTGTCCTTAGCCTCAGACTGCTGGACACCTGGCTGCTACTGAAATCATGAAACTGAAGCATATTTTGATTCTACAGAATAAAATGGATTCGGTAAAAGAAAGCCAGGCTAAAGATCAGCATGAACAGTTGCTTGCATTCGTACAAGGTACAGTAGCAGAAGGAGCTCTTATTATTCCAATTTCTACTCAGCTAAAATACAATATTGAAGTTGTCTGCGAGTACCTAGTAAAGAACATTCCAGTACCCCCAAGAGACTTTACTTCAGAACCCCGACTTATTGTTGTTAGATCCTTTGATGTCAACAAACCTGGCTGTGAGGTTGATGACCTTAAGGGGGGTGTAGCTGGTGGTAGTATTCTAAAAGGAGTATTAAAGTTGGGCCAGGAGATAGAAGTCAGACCTGGTATTGTTTCCAAAGATAGTGAAGGAAAACTCATGTGTAAACCCATCTTCTCCAAAATTGTATCACTTTTCGCAGAGCATAATGATCTTCAGTATGCTGCTCCAGGAGGTCTTATTGGAGTTGGAAGAAAAATTGACCCCACTTTGTGCCGGGCTGACAGAATGGCGCAGTTGGAGTTTTACCTGAAATCCTCACAGAATTGGAAATTTCCTATTTCCTGCTTAGACGGCTTCTAGGTGTACACACTGAAGGAGACCAGAAAGCAGCAAAAGTGCAAAAGCTGTCTAAGAGTGAAGTGCTTATGGTGAACCTAGGATCCCTGCCGACAGGAGGAAGAGTTAGTGCAGTCAAAGCTGATTTGGACAAAATCGTTTTGACTAACCCTGTGTGCACGGAAGTAGGAGAAGAAATTGCCCTTAGCCAAAGAGTTGAGAAACACTGGCATTCAATTGGTTGAGGTCAAATAAGAAGAGGAGTGACAATCAAGCCAACAGTAGGTGATGACTGAAGAAGTAAATAATAGATTTGGATGGAGCTGGAATTTCTCTTAACAACCTAGGGGTATATTTTCAAAGCAATAGTGAGGAATTAATTGCATAGCTCATTACCTTAGGAGTAGCTGTAAGGTTATTCTCATTTTTTGGTGATGAAAATTTAACCTCTAGTACTAAAATAGGGTCTACAATAAGTGTAAAAATTGGCATAATGTTGGATTGAATCTACATTTTACCAGAAATTAATCATTCCCAAATAACATCTAATTTATACATCAGCACAGGTTTGAAAGAAAACTGCTACAAACCAGCCTTTGCTGTAGCGCACATACCACTGAACCTGTTTGAAATAAAATTTTTCTTCTTAAAATAAAAATACCCTAAATTTTAAAAGGAGTGAGGCTGAACGCAGAGTAGGCGTGGCTCACAAGCTCCTTGTTTCTTGTAGGAACCACAGGGCAGCCAGGGAGAGGTAGGGTGGTTTTGGCCAACACAAAGGCTTCCATAGGAGGCCTGCACCTCACTGGAGGGCCCCATTCATCCCACAGAGGTGGGGCGCTGGTGTGTCTGGAAGGCACCAGCCTGCAGTGCCCACTCACCTTCCCGTAGCTCAGCAGGATTATCCGCACCAGGACGACATTGATGTGGGCCCCCAAGGACTCATCGTGATAAATTTCATTGACCTGAAAGACAACCAGGGACGTGTCAGCAGAAACCACAGGCCCAAGGATGAGCTCTGGCTTTGCAAATGGCATCACCACCCAGCTAGGCCCCAGGCCAGAACCCTGGGACCCAGCCCCACTCCTTCCTCTTTGCCACACTTTATACCCAGGCATCACCACCAACTCTGAATCCATCCCTTCCTTTCCCTCTAACCCCTGCCAGGATATTGCCACTCCCTCCTCAGCAGCCCCTCCCACCAACTCAGGGATTCTCCACCTGGAGCCTACACTGGGATGGGGACACTGACCACTGTAAATGCAACATGGCCTTTCCTTCAGGGAGAACGCAGGCCACAAACCCCAGTGGCAGGGGCAATGCCGGGACTGTCACTGGCAGAAATCACTCCTCAGCTGCTGCTGGTGGTTGTGAAATGTCGTCTACACTCATCACAACTTGGAAAGGGGGGTCATTCTAGACACACCAACAGATCTAATTTTTAATGTCTTAATTAAGAACAGATATTGCTATATCACAAAATTGTGCTCTGTTTTGATAACTGCGACTCATACTATTGGCTTCATTTGTATTTCTTCACTCTTTTATTATCATGTATTTAATATTTTACATTTACAAACATTATTGGTGCAGGTGCCCAGGGGCCTCACCAGATGTCAAAGGGGTCCACTGCACAAGAAAGGTGAGGAACCCTTCCTTCCCCACAGCACAGCCAGCATGAATTTCTGGAAACACTAGTCAGGTTAACCCTGGCTCAGGGCCGACAAAGCCTTCCTTCCCACCCTCACGCGCTCTCGGGATCTTACCTGAAATGGCCGCCTCATTGCCACCCACTTCATTCGTTCGCTTCCTGACAAAACCCTACTCTTCCGGAGGCCCAGCCTCGTGGCTGCTTCCTCCTGGAAGGGCCCCCAGGTCTGATCTGCTTCCCAGCCAGCACCAGGGTCCATTGCTTCCTGAGCTCTCTGTGTCCCCAAAGGGACTGTGAGTTGCATGGCCACCTGTATTTTCCCAGCATGTCTCCAGCACCCAGGACGCAGCAGCACACAGCAGATACTCAGGACACACTCGTCAAAAGAACGGATCCACTCATGCCATCACTCAGTGGAGAGGCACGAACTGACCATGCAACCCCTCCCTGTATGCAGACCGAGCCCAGAGGCTGCTGACCTACCCTTTGTGAGGGCAGACCCCACCAAGCGTGCCTCCCAGAGCCCACTCTGTCATCTCAGGCCAGTGCCATACTCCCCCTGAATCCCAGCTTTTAGAATCTCTATCTGAGCAATGGTAATTGCTACCTATAAACAGTAGGAAAACCCTTTGGGAAATCTGAGCGTTAGCAAGGAAAATCAATTCGTGATGGATGGGACAGGCAGGCACATGGGGCATGCTAGACAAGGAGCCTGGTGGCTCCTGTCACCGTTGCTGTGTGTTGAGACGGCACCAATGGGAAGGCAGAGCTAATGTGCACGGTGGGGTCCAGGGAGGCCACCAGCCAGCCCTAAGTGCGGTCCCTGCCGGAAGCCTCCTGCCCACACATCTACCTTCCAATTATAATTTGTTTCTCTGCCCTGACCTGGCTTTCCTGCAGGGAAGGGACGACTGATAGCCCTACGGGATGGTCACTGTGACTCGGTGCATGAGTCTGGAGAGGGTGGACGCTGGCACTGAGAGCCACCTACCAGCAAGGTGACACCTGCAGCTGACAAGGCGGAGCCCTGGGAGGCTCTGCCAACTCACCCCTGCCGGACCTTCCCTTCTGAACAAGAATGACGGTCCCCATGTCACAAAGCTTTGTGAGGACGAGACTTCCGCACATGCATGATGGAATGATGTTGGTGAAAACAGGAAAACTGTATTAGTCACTGCTGCTAAGTCATATCGCCCCGCAGCCTCCCATGAGGTCACGGTGACGGGGTGTACACCCCCTAAACACGGAGGTCCTTGCCCACTTTTGAGGGTCAAACTAGACTTTTTGGTCCACAGTGAAACAACGGCCCTAAAAACTACTTTTTCTTAAGAGAGAGGATTTTTTTGTCTCCACAGTATTGCTCTATCTTTCACAAGCAGAGCCTCGCCGATTTGGCTCACGGAGTTTGACTGATAGTCGTGGTGTAGAAAGGAAGAAGGCAGTGACACAGGGAGGTCCTGCTGCATCTGGGGTTGAGTTGGGGGAGGGCGGGCAGGAGAGGAGAGAGGGGAGAGAGACAGGAGTGAATGGCCAGCTTCACTTTACTCCCTTCAACTCTGACTCCCAGGTCATGCTTCGAGTGGGGGGCCGGGGTGGGGCAGAGAGGGTAAAAACAGCCCCGATGTTTGGGAAGAAGATGAAAACAGAGAGAGCTTAAACCTGCTCTCTGGGACCTGGGAGGGGACAGGTTCTTGTCAAGGAGGGGTGGCTTCAGAGAGCTGAAATGGAGTCCGGCCCCCAGCTATGCCTAGGGCATCCAGGGACAGTGGCAGGATAGATTGTTATCTGGAAGGAATTCAGGGCTGAGTTCAAAGAATTACCTCATTTTATGCTCCCAACAGCCCTTTGAGGCTAGAAGGAGGGGTGTCAGCCCCTCCTGAGAGATGAGGAAGCTGAGGCTGGTCCCCAAGGGAGGAAGGAGATGCAGGGCTTCTTCTCAGTTCCTGGCCCAGACCCTGCCCATCGGGGCCCAGGATCCTCCTGTTCTCCTGGTCCCACCACTGGGGCCGATGGCAGCCACTCTCATCTCGGGTAAGGGGTCTTGTGTCCTTCTTGGATGCTGGACAGGTCTGACCCTGACTCCTGATTCGAGAGACAGGAGGGCGCCAGAACCCTAGGATCCCCACCACCAGGCGCTGGACTCTGCGAGGCAGAGGCCCACCTCCTGCTGGGGGTGAGGGCCAAGCAGTCAGAGCCAAGGGGTGTCAGGCTGCTGAGCGAGGGCCCAGCTGGGGAAGCACTGTCTTCTGAGCTGCCCATCAGCCACCAGCTCCTGTCAATTGGGCTGGGCACCCTGACTCTGCCCTCAGAGACCAACTGGGCCTCTGAGACTACTGAGGAACTAGAAAAGGCACGTCTGGAGCACACCCAGCAGATAGCCAGCAAGGAGGCCAGGCCTGCTCTCGAGATGCCCCAGCCCCGCCCTCCCTGGTAGCCTTCCACTGTGGTGCACCTTTCACTGTTTTCTCCTAGGAAGCCTCTGCCCTTCCACACAGGGACACAGCTGCACACAGTTTGCTCCTCTTAGGGAAGAAGGGCTTCCAGCTGGGTGTGCCCCAGCCTCGCCCTACAGCACAGGCACCTCTTGGCAACTGCTGGACCTTCTGGGTGCTTCCCAACCTGGATTCCCACTCACAAGCCCTCCCGGTGGCCTCACCTGAGGCCCGGCCCCCTGCAGCCCCCTCCCAAGCAGGTGGGACCCCCCCAGTGACCAGGTGGCCTGGGACGTCTTCTTGCTCATTACGGTGGTGTGGCAGAATCCCCCCACCTGCAAACGGGTTCCCCTCCAATGTCTGGCTCCCAATCCCCACGTTGCGACTCATCAGGAACAGAAAGGGCAGAATGCAGGGCTTGTGGGCCATGGAGGAGGCTGGCTCTGCTGAGGAGTGGGCCCTGCCCTGCCCCGCCAGGGCCACGCCAACTTTTCAGGGGGCTGTGAAATTGCCACAGCCCCCTGAGGCCAGGTGCATCCCACTCTCCACAGGTGCTGCCGGTGAGGCCAGAAGCCAGCAGGGCCCGCTGTGGTGTAGAGACCCCCGGGAATAAGTAAGATGCCCAGTAAAACACTTGCCTCCATAATAGGGACACAGCTACAACATTTCCACCAAGCAGAGAGCTAACAGACATGGCACAAAGAGCCACAAAGACAGAAGGCAGCTTCCAAACATCTCCCTCCCAACTCCCCCCCGTCCCTTGACTCCCATTCCATCTCCTCCACAGGTAGACAAGGAAGCAGCACCTTCCCACCTCGTGTCTCCCTCACGGTCATTCTTCACGATGGTCACCTCAGAAAAGGTCTGACCTCCTGCTTCCTCTGCCTGAAACCCTCAATGGCTCCCCGGTGCCTTCAGGAACGGGCCTCAGCCCTCAGCCTGGCACTTGGGGCCCTCTCTAAGCTGGCCCTGGCTGGCTTCTCTGAGCTCCACTTCAGCTACTTTCCTCCAGGAACCCTCACTCCTGACAGCTCTGCCTTCCCGGAAGCCAGCTGCCCTCTCCTGCTGCTTGTGCTATGGTTCATACCTGGAGTTCCCTCTCCAGCCTCTGAATTCTTTTTTTGTGTGTGTGTGGCGCACGGGCACGGGCTTAGTTGCTTCGTGGCACATGGAATCTTTCTGGACCAGTGATCGAACCTGTGCCCTCCGCATTGGCAGGCGGATTCTTTTTTTTACATCTTTATTGGAGTATAATTGCTTTACAATGGTGTGTTAGTTTCTGCTTTATAACAAAGTGAATCAGTTTTACATACACATATATATATTCCCATATCTCTTCCCTCTTGCATCTCCCTCCCTCCCACCCTCCCTATCCCACCCCTCCAGGCGGTCACAAAGCACCGAGCTGATCTCCCTGTGCTATGCCGCTCCCTGTGCTATGCCGCTGCTTCCCATACAAGAGCATTTGAAAAAACAAAGAGCAATAAATGTATTTCAAAGGAGGAGGGCAGTTACCCTCCCCCTACCGCCACCACAGGGCCTTCCCACTGCAACTGGGATAAAATCAAAGCCCTGCTCCCTCTTCTCAGGTTGCCCTCGCCTTGCTCACCATGGTCCAGTCACTGACCTGTGAGCTCCTTACGCAGGGAGCCCATCCCTACCTCAGGGCCTTTGCACTTGCAGTGCCCTCTGGTTTCTCATCCTCCTCCCCCAGCACGACTGTCCCCTGTTCAAAGTGAGCCCTTAAAGTAGTTGCTCCCAGACTGGACTATGCACTTGATGTGGAGGCACCCCTCCTCCTCAGTCACTGCTGTGTCCCTAGCAGTGTCAAGCACACAGTAGGTGCTCAGTAAAGAGTTCTGAATGCGTGAATGAGTGAATA